AGGCTGGAGGCTCACAAGTTTGAGGTCAGTCTCAGCAACTCAGCAAAGCCTAAGTAACTTMGTGAGACCCTGTCTCAAATAAAAATTTTAAAAAGGGCTGAGGAGGTTTCTCCGTGATTAAGCACCCTTGGGTTCAACCCGTAGTACATCCTCCTCTCAAAAAATGAAGAAAAATCAGTGAATCCAAAAGTTGGTCCTTTGAAAAAAGTGACAAAATTGACAACTTTTAGTTAGGTCGAGTAATAAAAATAGAAGATCCAAATTACTAAAATCAGAAATGACAGCTGCATATTGCTCATGATCCAAAAGAAATAAAAAGAAATGTAAGAGCATGTTATGAAGAATTAAATGTCCTCAAACTGGATAACCTAGATAAAATATTCAAATTACTAGRAACATAAAACCTACCGAGACTAAATCACAAAGAAAAACATGAAATCTGCATGGACCTATAAATATTAGGAGATGACTAAATCRGTAATCAAAAATCTACAGACAAGCTTGGGTGTAGCAGAGTTTCAGCGTTTATTTAGCATTCATGAAGACTTGGGTTTAATCCCTATCACCAAAACCAAAGCAAAAAAGAAATCTATTAAGAAAGAAAATCCCCAGACCTGATGACTTCGCCAGTGAACTCCCCCAAACATTTTAAAGAAAAACTAATATTGRTCTTTTTTTCAAGCTTTTCCAAAAATATTGAAGAGGAAGGAATACTTCCTAACTCCTTCTATGATGGCAGTATTTACCTTGAACCAAAACCAGAAAAACACTTCAAGAAAACCACAGACCGGAATCTCYTATGAACATTGACACAAATCCTCCACAAAATTCTAGCAACTCAAATTCAGCCGCATGTTAAAAGACCAATTGAGATGGATTCCTGGAATGCAAGGATGGTTCAACAGATGAAAGTCAGTCAATGCAATACGTCACATTAATAGAACAAAGGGGGAAAACTCATGATCATCTCAATTAATGTACAAAAAAACTTCTGACCAAATTTAATACCCTTTCATAATAATAAAAAAATGGAAAAAACCCACATTACTGACCATATTTTAAATATGGGAAACTAAGATGCCAGAAAAGTTAAATAAATCACCTGGGTCAGAGAGACTCAAATGTTGATTTACCTAAGTTTTTTTTTTCCTACACATGCTGCCTCTAACACAAGGCAAAGATACCCAATTTTGCCACATCTATTTCACATAGTATTGCAAGTTCCAGCCAGAGCAATTAGACAAGAAAAAAAATTAAATCAAAATTGGAAAGGAAGAAGTACAATAATCTCTTTCATATATGATATTATATATAGAAAACCCTACAAGTCTCTCTCTCTCTCTCTCTCTCTCTCTCTCACACACACACACACACACACACACACACAAAATCAGTTATATTTATAGATGTTAACAATGAACAATCTGAAAAAGATAGTATAAAAACAGTTCCATTTCAAAAAAAAAAAAGAATAAAGCAGGAATTAACAAGAAAGCAAATATTTACACAATGAAAATTATAAAACATTGCTGAATGAAATTAAATAATACATAAGTAAAACATACTATATTTATGAATGACTTAAAATTATTAAAATGTCAATACCACTCAAAGTGACATACATATTTAATGCAACCCTTACCAAGATCCCAATGATTTTTTTTTCAGAAATATAAAAGTCCATTCTAAAATCCACATGGAACCTCAAGGGACCCAGAATAGCCTAAACAATGTTGAAAAGGAAGAATAAAGCTGAAGGCCTTTCACTTCCTGATTTCCATACTTAACTACAAAATGACAGTAATCAAAACAGTATGGTAGGGCTGGGGCTGGGGCTCAGTGGCAGGGCACTTGCCTAGCATGTGTGAGGCACTGGGTTTGATCCTYGGCTCCACATTAAAAATTTATAAGTAAAATAAAGGCATGCTGTCCATCTACAACTATATAAAAAAWTTTTAAAAAACAGTATGGTAGTGACATTTAAAGACAGACCTATATATAAACTAATGGAAGAGAGAGCCTAGAAAAACCCCCTACAAATATGTTGATTATTACATAATTAGTATTCAATGAGGGTGACAAGACCATTCAGTGGGGGAAAGAATGGTCTTTTTTGACAAATGGTATGAGGAAAATTGGATATCAACATGTAACACAATGAAAATTGGGCATTTCCTAACACCCACAAACAAAAGCTAACTCAGATCAAAAACATAAATGTAATGCCTAAAACGACAAAATCTCTTAGGAGAAAAACAGGGCAAAATCTTGGAGTTGGCAAAGTTTCATGGGTGAATTAAACCAAATAGGAAAGAAATAATACCAAATCTTACACAAACCCTCTCAGAAAACAGAAGAGAAGGGAACACTTTTCAACTCTTTTTTATGAGATCAGAAAAACCCAATCCCGAACCTTGGCACAGACATGATAAGAAGGGGAAATTAAAAACAAAATCTTTGCAAATCTGATCCAGAAAAATATAAAAAGAATAATACAACATCATGACTAAGTGGGTTTGTCCGGTAATACCAAGTTGGCTCAGCATCTGAAGATGGTCATTGTAACTCACGGCACTGGGGTACCTGTGCAGGCATAGACACTGGAGAACTCACCAAATTGCACGTTTTAGATCTATGCCATTCACTATGTGAAATTTGCCTTAATTACTTTAATGGGGCGGGGGTGGAGGTGGGGTGGGGTGGGATGAGGTACCTTAACTGTAGGTCACACACACCAAAACAGAGGCCACTCCTAGTTTTTGACCACAACATCCGCATCCTCATGATACAAGAACACATTGTTCTCTAATGTAGCAGACGTCAATTTATCTAGCTTATCCAAAAGCAGTTTTAAGTAATTAGGGTGCAAATTTTTCACAGTGGGGGTGGGGGCTTAAGGAAGAATCCGAACACATTCGTGTGTCACCCTGTTCCCAATCCTTATCAAATGTCTAGTGTCCAAGTGTCCCCACCCAGATTACCCTGGGTGTCTGGTGGCTCCTCAGAGGAAAAGACCTTCCCTGGGGATTGGAATTCCTGTCTGATTGTGATCGCTTTAAACAACCCTATTACTTCACAGTGACATTTAGGATTCCACTAACGTGGTGCCAAGGGCTCTTCCGGCAGGGTTATTCTGAAATTAACTCGGCCTGGAGTCCCATACCTCTTAGATCATGTCATATAAGGACTTTCATCTAGGAACTTTCATCTGAAACCACAGCAAATATCTGACTGTTTTGTTTGGGGTTTTAGAGAATCAAAGATTCTTGTGACATTTTTAATATCCCTTGAGTTATAAATTTAAAAAAAAAAAAGTTGTGTTTTTTCACGCCACATTTTCTCTGGGATCACTGATCTACACCCAGAGAAAATAATTTTTGGTTTTATTACATAATTCTTTGAAAATCTCCAACATTAAATAACTACATCAAACTGGAATCTGCATCTTATCCCAGATTTTTGGCTTTTTAATTTTTTGTTCATTCCTTTTAAAACATGTTAGGATTCACACATTTCTCTGGACTCTTTCATCTTTTTTTTTTTTTTTTTTTTTTTTTTTGGTACCAGGGATTGAACTCAAGGGCATTCAACTACTGAGCCACACCCCCCGCCCTGTTTTGTATTTTATTTAGAGACAGGGTCTCACTGAGTTGCTGAGCGCCTTGCCATTGCTGAGGCTGCCTTTGAACGTACCATCCTCCTGTCTCAGCCTCCTGAGTTGCTGAGATTATAGGCATGTGCCACGGCTCTCAGCTCCTCTTCATTGTCTTACTGTACAAGACCGTGGGTTAAGCACTTCAGGTCAATAAAAATAAAAGAGCCTAAAGAATTCTGGGTTCAGATGGCTTCTAGTGCTCCCGGGCATGGAACCCAGGGCAAGCCAGACACATATGAGCTACATACACCACCAGCCCTGAGTTCTGTGTTGAGAGAGCTTAAAGCCAGTCAAGGAAATAGAGCCAATGCAAAAATGACATCATAGGTGACAATGAGACAGATACACAACTTTTCCAAATCCTGCCCACCTGGAAAGATAAGAGCGAGTTTTACAACCAAGGAGGCATTGTGTATGGAGCCTTCATTGCCCAGAGGGATTTTAACATGGAGGCCAAAGACAAAGGATCTTGCTCTTGAAGATCTGGGACTGGAAGCCCCTGGTCCAGGACAGGGAGTCTGATTTCAGCTGGCAGAAAAAAAAGTCACTGGAAGATTCTGAGCAACGTTCAAGAGTGACATTTCTAAACTATACATTTAAGGGCCATAGAGGAATCCAAGGAGCAATGGAGTGAACCAAGAAGAAAAGAGACTTCTGTCTGCTAAATAAACCTCTAAAATCTATTTTCTGAAACAGTTTATTGTCAAGTAAATTACACTTTAAAATATCTCTAGGTTTCCATTTCATGTCCAGCCAAACTGGCATTTAAAGCACAACAATGGAAGCCAGGCGGCATGGTGGCCACGCCTGTAATCCCWGCTAACAGGAGGCTGAGAGAGGAGGGTCACAAGTTCAAGGCCAGCCTCCACAACTTAGTGAGACCCTGTCTCAAAATTAAAAAAAATAAAAAAATAAAAAAGGGTTAGAGATGTGGCTCAAGGATACAGTGCCCTTGGATTCACTCCCCAGTACCAAAAGAGAAAAAGAAAAAGAACTGGCAATGTGGTTCAGTGGTTCAATGCCCCAAACCAGAAAAGAAAAAAAGAAAGCGTCACAATGGAACATTCTCTCACATGAGAAGGAACAGACCAGAAGTGCTGCGAGCTAGGAGTCGGCTGCAAGTTCAGGCAACCAGCAGGAAGACCTTGTTGGTGTACTGGTGTCTCCAGGGCCGTGCTGGGTCCTTCCGCCAGGCCTGGGCRTGGGGCTGGCACCATCAGAGGTGTTTTGACCTCCTCGACAGAGGACAGCTCACTATAACTCCTGGAAACCTCAGWAAGAACCCAGGAGCCCCCACCCAGGTGCTCCTGCATGCAGGAGGCAGGGCTGGGCGGCCCCCACTCACCGGTGATATAGAAGGCTTTGTACCTCTCCAGGCGGACAGTCTGCAGGGCTCCGTACCCTCCAGCTGCGCCGCTGTTGGGGTGGAACAGCACCTGGAAAAGACGGCAATGCTTACTCCCTGCACGGCACCTCTCTCCTGGTCCACAGGACCCCACCCCACACACACTGACAGACACGGGCCTGTAGCCAGCCAGGAGACGCACGGAAGTGTTATTSTGCTAGTTGTTTGCTAGTTGTTAAAGAGAAGCGGAGGCCTCTGGACCATCTAGTGAAACTCGCTCTGTAATTGGCAGGGTCCGGGGGCAAAGCGAGAATCAGGGATGCTTTGTTCACAAATTGAAAACTTCCAGACAGCCAGGGCAGAGCTTTAAACCAAGCTCAGGGTCCCCCTAAGGGTGGGGATGCCCACCAGTACTGCTTGTGCCCCATCCCTCAGGTGCAGAAAGGAGCCTGCTGACCTGCCTGATTCACTAACATCCCCAGGGCCTCTGATGCAGCTGACCCTTTTGAAAAAAGACTCCTTCAGCTTCAAGTCACTTTTCCACCAGACCCTTGAGCAAGGACAGTACAAGAGAAAGAAAGCCTTAATTTCCCCCAGCACGAGGCACAGTCTAGTCTCTGGGCCTGTGTATTCTTTGTTTATTTGTTTTTAGTGCTGGGATCAAACCCAGGGCCTCACACACGCAAGGCTAGTGCCCTACCACTGGGTAGCACCCCCAGCCTAGCCTCTGAGCCTGTGACTCAGTCCTACTGTACTGAGACAGAGGAAATCTTTCCTCATCGAGTCATAAATGCAAGAATTACCCTAAAGAACGGAAACACCTCATTCAGAGTTCTCCAGGGAAGCATTTGGTAGGAAATAAAAGGCCAGAATTCTTTGTAGGTTGGTGGGTTTGGGCTGGAAGCATGAGACTGCCCTGGTATGAATCATGACTGTATACGTTGCTGGAAAGACGCTGACGTGATTCAGAGTTTCCATGGGGCTCAAAAAAAAAAAATGGAAAACATCTGTTGGAGCCGTAAACATCTGTCCCACAAGTTCCTAAGCCCTGAGAGGCTGCTGCCCAGGGCGGGGACCCCCACCTGCTGCTCTCATGCTCTGTGCTGTCAACCCCTGCAAACACCCCGGTTACATGTGATGACAGCAGGCTCCTTCCAGACAGGAAAAGACGTCCTAACGGAAACCCTCACTTCCTCCATCCCTCATCGAAAGCTCCTCCGCTCGGTGGAACACTGCTGTGTGTCCCTGGGATGCACAGAGGTGAGAGCTGGACCGTCCACCGTCAACCAATCTATGTGGTGTTCAGATCTCCAGAAAAGGGGAGTCGAGGTTGGCCACTTYAAACCGTCAATACCGTCTGGGTAACAGAAATCCAAGAGGGTGGGCTGCCCTATTCTGAATACGCCTGGGGCCCGACCAGAAGTCACTTCCAGAATCCAAGAGGAAGCAGAACTGTGGGATGGGTCATTTTTTGGARATGTGGATGGATGCAGAGGAACTCGCATGCACGTTTTTCTGTTGAGCAGACGTGTCATGGCTTTCTCCTGCACCTCAGCATAGGAAGAAGGTTGGCAAGTTTAAGTAGGAATCAGTGGAGATATTTCCTCTCCAGAGGCCTGGGTGAATTTCAGAAATGATCTTATCTTCACAAGCCTGCCGTGGCCTTCTTGGTGGACTGGCTTGTTGTTGTTGTTTCGGGTTTGTTTGTTCGAGACAGGATCTCCCTATGTAGCCGGGCCGGCCTTGAACTCTTGGCTTCAAGTGATCCTTCCTCCGGGGGCCTCCCGAGAGGCTGGTATTACAGGCACCTGGCCTCTTGTTTTCCCAGCCATGCAGGACTCCCCTTATGATAGGTCCTGGGGGCCAACCCTAAACAGTATCACTAGAAGGTGGGCTCCCTCACCCCCGGCCAGGGGCGCACAGCCCGCAGTCTCCCAAAGGGTGGATAGAGGAGGCCGTGGGTCATTAGCCTGTCACTCATGATGAMCTCTTTCACCACTAGGGGCCTCCCTAAGAGAAGTGATTGGTGTTGGGGAGACTACCTACCAGCTTCTGTCTCTCAAGTGAGAGGCTGACGGTGGCGAYGATGTTGCGAGTGTCAGCTGCTGTGGGTTTTGACCATCACAGACATGATGTCCCAGAAGGGGGATGAAGTAGGTCATGAAGCCAYGGTAGGAACACTACGTGCATCACACTTCGAAGCCCATGACCTGGGGAGGTGGCCCTAGGGGAGGTGACTGCAGGTGGCTTATTTCTTCAACCCTGGGTTACTTGATTTATGATAGAGGGAAGAACCTATCTGCTGATAAGCACCTGTATATTGTTTTGAGCTGACTGTCCAGAGGGTACCTTGAGCTTCTAGAAACCAGAATGGTTTCCTAAACCAACCCCTACTGGAACTCTTATAAGCTGAGGAGGACACATCTGTGGGTGGACACAGACTACGTTAAGAAATACATATGAACGATATACACATATGAATGTGTGGGGGTGTCATGTGTCATGATATCCGTATTTTTCAAAAACACACTCGTATTTTTACTTGCTGGTATTCCCTAAAGCCATTCCAAGTTCAAGACCATTTAGTGTCTTCAATACTATTATCTCAGTTCAAGAGAGAAGCTGACCAGAGAAGACCCAGCCTGAATTCTGGACCAGAAATGACACCCGGTACCCTCAGACTCCAAATAGTCTATCTCGAGCACCTCCACTAACAGCACAGGTCTGCTGCCGGGGAAGTTGGGCGTGGCCCCCAGGTGCCAGCACGCATGCGCTTTCACCCTTGAGGACACCTCAGCGCCTCCCGCAGGCCGAAGCTCGCCGGCTGTGTCTTTTGAGACCTCTGCGCATGGTTGGGAGCAAACGGACCCCTACTCCAGCTGCGCTGGCGCACAACACAGGTCCCCATGATGATGTTGGGACTTGTATCGGCTTCTCCCACCTGGTTCCAGGCCTAACCTGTGCGCACGGGCTGGTCTGGGGCCCCTCGTGAGTCTGCGCAAAGCTGCGAGCAGAGGAAGAGAGCGCGCGCTCCCCTGTCTGGGAACGGAAGTGAGTGCGCGCAGGAGCTGGCATCCACAGGCCAACCAACAACGTCAAGGAGACCACAGTCCTTGAAGCACTTCCTGGTGACCCCAATTATCCTGTTAGTAGCCATGGCAATAAACACTGAGCAGCACCTCTCCACTGACGTCCTGGATAACCCCCCAGGGTCACACCGTGCTAACTTCCAGCCTCAGAGCGGAAACCATCTTCCTGCTTCGGCCTCTGATTAGAGACCTGGAGGGGTGCGCAGCTCTGCAACAATCCTGTGGCATGCCAGCATCTTCAAAGGCCCTTTCCAGCCTAATCTGACAACTAAGAACTGTATTAATGTGCAAAGAGGCATCAGTGGCCTATTGAGCCACTGAGGGCCAGTGTTCTGCGTGGCCAGGGGACGCTGGGAGGGAAGGGCTGCTTCCATAAGCAACCAGCCAGCCAGGTGCGGTGGCACATGCCTGTCATCCCAGGGGCTCAGGAGGCTGAGACAGGAGGATGGCAAGTTCAAAGCCAGCCTCAGCAAAAGTGAGGCACTAAGCAACTCAGTGAGACCCTGTCTCTAAATACAAAATAAGGCTGGGATGTGGCTCAGTGGTCAAGTGCCCGTGAGTTCAATCCCCAGTTCCAAAAATAAAATAAAATAAATAAAATAAGCACCAGCCCGTGGTGCACTTGAGCACATCTGAGTCACTTCCATGTGACCCTCAAAGACATAAATAGACCCTTTGAAGTGTGAGTCCCCAACAGAGAGCCAGGTGCTTGCCGGGCCTGATGCAGGGGCCTCCAAGCTCCTCTCCACGCCTTCCCTCCTCCCACTTCCTCTTCCTTTGGTGAAAGGCAAACACTTGGAAATGACAGGGAAAGGCCATCAGGACTGACATTTCCTGGCTGCTGCTGCCATGAAGGGCTTCCAAACAGGGGACACTGCGGAAGTAATGCCGGGAAGTCGAAGCCCAAAGCCATTTCGGGGGGCTGCTGGGTTAAGGCTGCTTGGTCAAGATCAGGCTGCAGCATGTGTGCTGAGCCCTCCCGGAGCCAGGGGAATGTCAGGGGTGTTGCTGTCCCTGCTGTCCAAGAGGTCTTTATTCCGTTGTTCACCCAGTTTGCATTGACTGGATGCTGGCAGGGTGCAGGTGCTGGTAGGTGTGCTGAGAATTTAGAGGTGAACCCAACAGCCAGGACTCTTGCCCTTGGAAAGCTCCCGTCCCAGTCAGGGAGCCCCACAATTAACAAGTGACAGCCCATGATCAGGTATCTCATCCAAAAACATGCTGGGTACCTAAGCTGTCAAAAAACTGAATGCATGCAGAAAAAAAAAATCATTCTAATATTATAGAGAATAAGAAGCACTCACATCCACATCCCTTAGCTAATTGTTAAATATTCAGATTAACAAACAGGATTATTTATGGGGTGGGGGTGGGGATTCTCCCAAAGGATCTGAGGTTTCTGGAACCAGCCACTTGTATCTGTCTTCTGAAGGTGGTCATGTTTGCTCAGAGGCAACCAGGTGCTGGATGACAGGCCAAAGGCCAGCCTCCTGCAGAGCCCAGGCGTGGGGACATGCTCCCTCCACTTACCCTGTGCCCCGTCTTCGACCTGCCCAGGAGCACCTCGGAGGCATCCAGTCCATCAAAGCGTCGATCTTGGGGCAAAGTGGCCTGCGCCAGGGCCACCACAGTGGGGAAAATGTCCAGCACGCTGCAGAAGGAACCAGATGTGGTCGGTCCCAGCTCTCTCAGCTCTTTCCCTGGCCCTGCTGGGCTCAAATCCCACCTGAACTAGCTCAGAGCCAACACGACAGCCTCCCTTCGGCCCACCCTTTCCACCTGCCTGCCCTTCCTTTGGGATCTACTTCAACTTCTGCTGCGACAGGAGGCAGATGGGTGTGGTGGCTCGGCACCCAGGCTCTGTAGCCAGCTGTTACCTGGGCTTGGATCCCAGCTCTGCCACCTGTCTATCTTCTGAGGCACTGGCCTCAGTTTTCTACTCTGTGAAATGGGTGTTTTAGTCAAAGTACCTGCCTCAGTGGGTAGCTGTGTGGATGAAACACACAGGTAGGGTATAAAGAAGACAACCTGGCACTCAGAGAGCGCTTATTGGATGTTTGTGTTATGCTCACAAACAGAGGCACCCCACATGGGAAAGGGGTAGGGATGTATCTAGGAACTGAGTTCAACCTGTCTCCACGAGGCCTCAGCCACTCGCCTAGAGTGGGGTCTCTGTCTCAAAAATATTTAGTCTCTCGTCATGGTATGTGACGCATGCTACCCCCATTATTTTAGCTCTTTTTTTTTCCCATTATAAAAATAGTGTTTATGGTCTAAGAAATCAGAGCATCCAAAACCATAAAAGAGAACACCTCACACACAGTCTATCCCCCCAAGGCAGCCGCTGTTAACATTTTGGGAGGTTTTGTTAATGGGACTTTTTTAAAGTCACGTGATGCAATTTTACCCTCCCCCACGGCACCTCCCCCTCCGATCCTCTGTGCTCCTGTCGGAAAGGACTCTTCAGCGAGAACAGAGTGGCCGCCCTTCCAACAGGCCTGTTTCTCTGAGAGCCAGACCCACTGACAGGGTTGGCCCAACGTGAGGTCTCTCTCAGGCCAGGAGGAGGCCCCGGTCCCCRGGTGGGCACAGCAGCCGAAGGCGGGCTCCTACCTGGGAGGGCCACAAAGGCCACAGCTCCCCACCTTCCCCACCCTGAGGCCTGGGGAGGGGCTCTTCACCCTCGGAGGGCATGGCAGAGAGAACCTGCCAGGCGTGGGCTCCTCCTGCCCTCCCACCTCCTCCCTGGACGCCAGACAGAATCTGTGGACCSGGGTAGGGAGCGTTTCTATCTGCCGGCAGGTCTCACAGTCTGCGGAGCCCGGGGCTTATCTGGGGAGATAGGCTGTAGGAGCTGGCATCCCACACTGATGCACAGTCAAGGCTTGCCGAGTCAGCGCTCACAGAGTACAGAACAGTCCAGAAACCTGTCCAGAGTCCAAGGTTCCTGCCACACACTGGGAAGCACAGAGCACTTCACTGCCATCGGAAAAGGCTGCGATGGTGTGGGGCTGTTTGCTGAGTTTTCTCTACATGGCACCCCTAAGAGAGATCAGCATCCGCAGGGTCAAACCAGTGAGAGAGAAAAACAGGATCTGCCTTAGATTTTTGGAATGAATTCTACCGTATTTTTTTCCATCTGAAGAGGAATTGGCGTCACAGATGAGTCAAATCAGTAAGCAAGAAAAAACAGAACCTACATTAGATCTTGGGAATATAATGTAGACTTTCTTTTTCCATCTCATTTTTCCCCCTCCTAGCATGAGATCTAGCATCGTAATTATCTAGCACTAAATCTAACCTTCACAGAATCCTGGTGTCTCAGAGTTTGGCAGAATCCTCAGAGGCACCTACTCCACCCAGAGCACAAAGAAAACCTCTTACCAACCAGAACGACTTCAATAGGTCTGTCGAGTCGTGCTGCTTGCTCAAGGCGGCCCAGCCCTGCGTTGGCAAGCTCTGGTTATCAAGTCCTTCCTCAAGGGACGGAGAAGACCAAGTCTCTGGGGTTAGCCCTGTCAGCGGGAAATGCTCCCTGGTAGATGAAACCCCTGCTAGATGAAGGACTGAATTTGGAGAGAGCATCTATCCTACAAAGGCTACCAAAGGTACCCTAGCTACTCCAAATCTCAAGCCCTAAATTCGAAGCTGGTCCTAGGAGCCGAGAATTGCTCACCTGTAATCCCAGACTCTGGAGGCTGGGGCAGGAGGATGGCAAGGTTGAGGCCAGCCTCAGCAACTTAGGGAGGCCCTGTCTCAAAATAAAAAGCAAAAAGGGCTGGGGGTGTGGCTCAGTGGTAGAGCACCCCTGGGTTCTATCCCCAGTATGAAAAGAAGGAAGGAAGGAAGGAAGGAAGGGAGAGAGGGAGGAAGGGAAGGAAGGAGGGAAGGAGGGAGGGAGGGGTCCTGGGAGTCTTTGAAACCTCTGAGAAAGAGAGCAAACAAAGCAAAAGCCAAAGCCTGAACTTTCACGATGTTCATGTCTGCACCTGGCTTCTGGCAGAGTGTTGGCTTTGGGGATCTTCACAGGGTCGGGGTGTGCTTGTTCTTGGACCTTTCCTTCCATAAAAATAAATCAGACTTCATCATTGTATGGGTGTAAAGGTGAGTATATAAAAATGTCGGCATTAAGCCATTTTTTTTTCCACCTAAAAGTTCAGGTTTTCTCCTTGGAATTTTAAAAGAAATTAAAAGTTGCCGGGGCCCTCCACGTCCTGTGGACTTTGCCTCTGGACAGGGAGCCAGGTGAGCTTCAGATAAGAGGAAGCCCCAGTTGCGGGGCCTTTTGGCTATGAGGAGGGCAGTCAGGAGCCTGCTTTGGGAGGGCCAAGGGGCCTCTGCACAGTGACCTGGAGGTGGGCGCAGAGTGGGCGGCGGCGGCATCTTTGCAAGTTCCAAGCCGCTGTGAGAAGCTTCTCTTCTTCCTTCACAGAGCTCTGGCCAGTCCAGGCTCTGAAGGTTGTTCACGAGAAGTGTGTGTGTGTGTGTGTGTGTGTGTGTGTGTGTGTGTGTGTGAGAGAGAGTGTGTGCTTGCTTGCTTCCTTCCTTTCTTTTTTGAGATGGGGTCTCTCTATGTTGCTCAGACTGGGACACCTGGGTCCCTCCTGCCTCAGCTCCCCAGTAGCCGGGACCACAGGTGCACGCCACGGAACTGGCTTCTTGGTGTTTTTATCCAGAGTTGCCTCAGGAGCCTGGGAACAGAGACTGGCCAGGGCGAGAGGGTTAACAAGGGCTCCAAGCTGGGCAGGCTACGAAGCGGGCTGCAGGGCCACAGGGCAGCCACAACGGGCAGTTCTGGGGCCCAGGGAGAGTCTGAGAGGGATGGTTTCCTAGAAGCCAAGGACAGCTTATCTGGGAAGAAGCAGATATGACCCGGACCCAGGGAGTGAGAAGAGTGAGGGGCGAGGGGCTGACGGAGGAGGCTGCCCTGGAGGCTCTGGGGCCAGGACAGAGGGCACCACTGTCTGCTCTCTCATTCCACCTTCYCTCTCTCTCTCTCTCTCTGTCTCAGTCTCATCCCTCTCACTATCCCTGAGACAGGCCAGGACGGCAGCCCCTCCCGCTGTGGCCATGCTGTAGCGGTTGGAGGGCTGGCTGAGGGGCTAGCCCACATCCATGTGTGTCTGGGCAGCACCTGCCCCACCCTGGAGCCCTCTTAGAGGCCAGTACAGCCCCAGCTGCATGACCTCTGGGAACAGGGATCCCAAATCATCAGGGGACATCCAACAGCACCCCGTGCTCCACCCTAGAGAGCAGAGGCAGAGCCTGCCGGGCAGGTGACGATGGATCCAAGGTGACCTGTGGCCCAAGCCCTGCCACAGGACACCAAGGCCAATAGGGTCTCCTTGTGAGCTTCTACTACCTGGCTCCGCCCCACATAGGAGCGTTTAGGTCCCCTTGCCTAACTCGGGGTCCCGTAATGCCTGGGAACATTGGGATAGAGGCTGAGGAACTCTGGCCTCCGCTCTGTTTATGGGAGCTGCCTCTGGTCTGCAGAAAGCTCTATGCCTTTGGGGATTAAAGTACTAGAACAGGAGATAAGCACCTGGGTTCCCACGAACACCAAGCCTGAGCACCAGGCTCCTGAATGCAGACCATAACCCCTGGCCTAGAGCTGACCTGGGGGAGCCCGAGGAGAGGGCWCCAGGAAGCTCCGCCCACATTTGCTTTCTATGGATTCCCACAGGAAAGAGCAAGGAGGAGGCTGCTCCGAGGCAGAGCCGTCAGGCCGCCGTCTGGACTCACTGAACACCACGGGTATCCTGAGAAAGGTGGGCAGGGCGTGTCGGTCTCGTCCTGGTGAAATGCTGCCCCCAAACAAAAGTCACCTTATCCAAAGAACTCATTTCCTGGGGCCACCCAACCGTCCCCTCCATCCATCGTCACCCTCCAAGGCCCTCGATTAACAGGACAGCGCAGCTCGGTTGTCAGCGACRCGGCCCAAGGGACTGCAGGGCTGCTGGGGCGGGTGCAGCCCAGCCTGCAAACCCTTGGCCCCTCTGGATAAGCCCTCRCACTACACCCAAGGCAGCCCGCCTGGCCTTCGTCCCGGCCAGCCCGACATCACCGATTCCAGGCTGTGACACTGTTGTCATGCCTACTGGCACCTGCTGACAGCACACTGCATCCTCCTGATTGCACAGRGCTGACCCCAAGTTCCTGAGGGCCCCACAGGCTGCCGGGGATGCTGCCTACCCATCCCCCACTCCGAGCTGTGCACTCCTCCTCCTTCCCCTGGTCTCCAGTCTCTCCGCGTGTCCCTGTTGGGTCTGGGGATACTGGAGGGAGCCAGGGACTCTTGCTTTCCTCTAATCTGCTGTGCTCATCATGCCAGAACCCAAAAGGCTAAAGATAAAAAACCTCTGCAAGCCAGGTGTGATGGCACCTGCCTCTAATCCCAGTGGCTCAGGAGGCTGAGGCAGGAGGACCACAAGTTTGAGGACAGCTTCAGCAACTGAGGCTCTAAGCAACCGAGCAAGACCCTGTCACAAAAATTTAAAATAAATAAATAAATWAAAAGGGCTGGGGATGTGGGTTAGTGGTAGAGCACCCTGGGTTCACTCTTCAGTACCAAAAAAAAAAAAAGGAAGGAAGCAGAGAAAAGAAGTTCTGCAGCTGGGAACTGCTCTTGAACCAGACCAGACCCTGACACCATGAATGAGCCCTGGCTTCCACCCAGGGTCACGGCRGTTGGTGAAGTCAAGGCAGAACCACAGAAAAGACGGGCCCGGCTGAAACAGAAGTCCCCGTGTAAGTCAGGTTCCACGGTGGCAAGGGCCTTGCTCCCAGACTGACACTCCGCAGTCAAGTTCTCCTCCGCAGAGTCGGGCTCTGGATCTGCGCTGGGCGAGGGGCAGCCACCATGCAGCCCGTGGTGGCTTCTCTGAGCCTTGACTCATCAGAGGAGCCGCGAGGGCAGAGGCGGGAGAGCCACCTCACCCCAGGACCCACCCCCTCCCGCAGCAACCTCCCTCCCCGGTCCCCTCCAGGGAAAGTGGGCATCTGCACTCCTTTCTTGGGACATCTGGGTGCCGGTGACAGGCTGGCTTCCCACAGCCGGCCCTGGGCCACCTCCCCCAAGCCCCACGGTGGACTAACAGGACCCCAGAGACGAGGTGCTGCTGCCTCCTCTGCAGCAGACACAGCCAGGACCCGACGCCGACCCATGTGACACCCAGGTCCCCTCTTCACTGGGCCGTCATCCCCAGGGTGGCTGAGTGCCACCGTACCTGCCTTGAACTAGCATAAGGAACTGCCTTTGGGCAAATCCCTCCTGCTGCACCCCGATTTTGGAGGTATCTGGAATACGTCCAAGGAGGGTGCCAGGAGCTTCCTGGACTCTCTGGCCACCCAAGCACCCACCACCATTCTGGCTCTAAACCCRCATCACCAGGTCATTTGGGTCTCATACCTTAACAAGGCAGTGCTGGTGACATTGGCTGGGACTGTGCCGGGCCAGTAAGCCAGGGCCGGGACCCGGTGCCCACCTTCCCAGGTGGTCTGCTTGGCTGGGCTTCCCCCTGTGAGARGAGGCAGCTGGTTCGTGATCAGTGATTAACCTGAGGCTTCTTTCCAGCTAAGAGCCAGTTTCTAGGAGAACAGCCCTCTCTAAGAGTTTCCAGGAATCCCAACAAAGAAAAGACTTTTTCAAAAAAGTAACCAGCCAGGCGTGGTGGCACGTGCCTAAAATCCCAGCAGCTCAGGAGGCTGAGGCAGGAGGATCTTGAGTTCAAAGTCAGCCTCRGCAACTTAGCAAGGCGCTAAACAACTCGGTGAGACCCTGTCTCTMAATAAAGTATAAAAAGGGCTGGGATGTGGCTCAGTGGTTAAGTGCCCCTGGGTTCAATCCATGGTACCAAAGAAAAAAGTAACTAGCTACTTTTCCCCAATTAGCTACTATCTTTCAATACACACTTTTATTTTATTGGACTTATAGGTAAACAAAAAACCTCACTCTGTTGAGTCATGTCATTTAATTCCATTCTGAAAACCTTTCCATTTTAAATTATCTTATTGGCTTATTAACTCGTTCCCCCCGGTGAGACTCCATCAGTCTTGTCTACCCACGACACAGTGGGTGCATAACAAATCTTTGCTGAACAAATGAATTCCTCTTCCGACTGAGCATACTGCAGCTGTCTGTTTAGGATGAAGAACTACAGTTATTTAAAAAAGTGCAAGAGGGAGGACCTTCCCCAGCTCTTTCATTGTCTATGTGCCAAACCGATCCGGCCCAGATTGAATTGTTTTGCTTTGCTTTGCTTTGCTTTGTTTTTCCTTGAATTAATAACTTGTTCTGATGTCGAGGAGACAGTGACAGCCACAGTCCCAACCTCTGGTCTCTGGCGGGGAGGTCAGGATCATCTATGTGCAATCTATGAATTTCCACATTGGTAATTCGAGGGATTGTTTTCGTAACCACGAAGTCAAAAGTGACCACCMGCGTAATGATAACCAGCGGGCTGGAAGAGATGAGGTCATGCTTTATGGAAACATCCTGAAGACTTGTGGCACTGCATTAACCATGACCATCCTGCCCCTCCCACACACCCCRCCCTCATCCTGGTTGAGCCAGAGGCCAAGAATTCCACAAAGTTCGCGTGTACAAAGCGGTGCCAAGGCGAGCGCTGTCTGTGGCTYGCACACGCTGCGGTCATGCGACTTCCCCATGTTTGGCTGGTGTGAATAATACAAGCAATGGAGGGCGGGGGTGGGGGGTGGGCAGGGGAATCCAGATGAAGGCTTTGTCCTTGCGCACTCGCACGGCCACCAACCGAACCTTTGATGTCCCTGGCCCAGCACCCCACACCGGAAATGCTCAGCATTCTCAGGGCCTTCTCACCACCAGCTCTGGAAATCGACCCCCGCCCCAGAACCCAAGAAGCAGATCACAAAACCACCCGGGTCCTAGGCCCTGTTTATGTTGAAGGGTGTGGGGCTCCAGAAACCAGCTGAAGTCGCTGCAGGCTGAGTGAGAAGCCCTTTGATCTCGCCCAGCGTTTCTCAAACACAGTCTTCCCGTCCAGAGAATTCCTACGGAGTCTATTCTAAATATCCACGCACGTGGGGCGGAGAATCACGAAGTACAGGGAGCATAAACTCATTTCCATGTGGCCTTGGAATGCCGGAGGCCAAAAGGCCAGGAGCAATCCTCGCAGGTGCGAGGTGCTGAGGCTCTGTGGGTGATTCCCAGCCCAGGAGGGTCATCTGGGTGGACACCTGGAAGCCACGGCGCCTGGGGAGTTGCATGTCCATGGGGCACAGTGTTGAAATGGACCTGCGTGACCTTTGAGGCCAGAGGCTAAGAAAAGGTCAAAGTTTGGGCTCCAGAAGGCAAGAGCCACGGGTCTGTTCTGCGGACACGCAGTGGGACACAGGGTTCAGTCCTGGATCCCAGGATGTTTCCAGAAGGGTCAACTGGCCCCTAATTAGTAAATATGCTAATTGTTCTTCACTCTTAGAGGCTCAGCTTGGTTGCCACGACCCTCCGTGCCACGCTTTTGCAGGTGACTGACCTTGTCAATATGTTTTTCAGATAGAAGAATCTCGTTGTGTTGTCTTCTTTCAGCAAAGGGATGGCTGGAGGGATGGGGAGGAATTCAGCCAGTATTCAGCATGTAGGTGTCAGCAAAGCGGACAACCCCCATGCAGAGATTCAGGGAGAAAGAGAACAAGGTCGCTCAGAGAAGACCCTCAGGGTGGCCACTCAGCGACAAATCTCTCTCTATGCTATCCAGGCTGGTCAGCGAATCCAATTGCACCTTGCCTTAAACAGCAAGGCCCAGTTAAATTCTAGCTGCACTGGTCACAGACCCCTAGACCCTGCTGTCAAGGGGGAATTTAGCTTAAGGGTCCCAAGTGTGGGCAATTATGAAAAAAATACTCATCACCCAGAACACGGACACCATCCTGCTCCCAATCCCAGGTTCTCGGTGGCTCTGCTAGAGGAAGRCAAAAAATGATCCGGCTAGAATTCTCTGTGGGTCCCCCGGGCTCTGGAGTCTAATGACTAGCTGCATGCGCTTGCACAGAATCTTGTTTGCTGTGGTTTATCTTCACCAGCCACGGCCAAAGTCCAGAAGAGCTGCCCTGTCCCACCAACGCTCTTCAGTGACCCATGCTCCTACTCACAGAAACCCATTCTGAGTTAAGCATAGTCTTAACATTACCAATAATCTCTCTTATTAATTGTGCCCTGACCAAACACCAAGTTAAGTGCTCCTAAGCGTCAGGTCAGGTTCTTCCCTGCACGATGCCATTGAATCCGTATGACAAACTTCCGGGCCAGACACTCTTACCTCCATTTTTTTCAGGTCAGGAAACCAAAGTTCAGAGAAGTTCAATAATTCACACAAGGTCACCCAGCTAGCAAGTGGTAGAATCAGAATCCAAAGCCAGGTCTAACTGCCCAGCCAACGCCCTCCCCCTACTGAACCTTCTAGGGCAGCAATTCCCATCCAGAAATGCAGTTAGAATCACTGGCGGAGCTTTTACAAAACTGCCCAGGCTAAATTGCCCTTTTCCCACAGATGTGATTTATCTTTCAAGGGTCTCCCAATGACTGAATGTAAGGGGGTGTCCATCCCTGGTCAGATCAGGAAGTGGACCCATTTCAAAACTAAATATAGCTTATATCCTTCTGGATCACAGGCTTTCGATTGCTCACACCTTTACACTTTTATGCCACCACATCATAAATGTGACCTGATAAGTTACAGCAACAACCATACACGAGTCCACAAATTAAACTTCTGGGCCCYTCTCCCATTTCGAAAGCTCCTGCTTGGTTCAGATAAGCCTGAATACTTTGATCCAAGTTCACTGATCCATTAAAAAAATGTGAGCGCCTTGCTTTCGGGCGTTGGTTGAGAGATGTTCATCTTATGGCCGTGAGAATGCATTTCGATGCATCTGTGGTTACTTACGACTCTAATTAAAGCAGAACCTCTTACTTAAAGAAATAAATATTTAGCCTCAGTAACCAAAATACAAACGGAACCATGATTCATGACTTTGCTTACTGCTTCTTCCCTGGCTACAGAAGTAAAGTGGCATTCCGCGACGCATCATGACAGAGGCCARCCGGGCCAGACTCACCCCTGCCTACGCCTGGGAATAGCAGCCGCCTTTTTGCCATTCCTCACTGACTCACAGGGGCAGTGTCCCCCRGAAGGAGGTGTGCAAACGTCTCCATTCAGTAGAGTTACCCTGARAGGACTGACTTCAGATTCCGACTCCTGGGTTCTATCCCCCTGAAAAATCTAATTCAATAAGTCTGGGGTGGGGCTCTGGTTCTAGAAGATTCTAATGCCAACGGGCCCGAGACCAGAGTTGGAAGAGCACCGGCAGGGTCATCAGGAGGATGCCTCTGGAGCCAGGCAGAGCTGAGTCCTAACTCCAGGGCCGCTCCTTCCAATCCCATGGCCTSGGGCAGTATCTGAAACCTCCCTCCGTTATCAAGCGTCTGGGCCGTGAGGTGCGGGAGGCTCTTGTAGGTACAGGGTATATGGGAACAGTTACCTGAGACCACGGATATGAAGTTCAAAGCAAGGTTCTTTGGTATAGAGCCTGTCCCCAAAGTGCCCAACAAATGCAAATTCCTCTCTCTCAAAAATAAAAGAATTATCTCTAGGTAGAAAATAGCACAGGTGGGCTAAGAATGTGGCCCAGTGATGGAGCCCTTGCCTAGAGTGTGCAAAGCCCTGGGTTCGATCCCCAGCACTGCCAAAAAATAAAAACAAAAAAGAAGATGAACATGTGCATGCTCCGGCGTGTCACCTGCCCGTCCCACGAAGGCATGAACATCTGTGGCTCCTCTGCACCCATGTCCTGAGGAATGCACATTCCACAACCTTCCAGAGAAGCCAGCTTGGTTTCTGAATATAGACTCSCGCCCTTACCAAGGACACCTGTGGCCTACTGGTTTTCTAGAAACACAGGGCTCTGGCTGGCCCCGGGGTGGCCTTGAGCAYGATAGTGAGGACATTCCACCAAGCCCGGTGGCCCTGGTCCAGAAGGAGACAGAGCTGGACTTCCGCTGGGTCCTCACCCGCAGGCCTCTGCCCCGGCCGGAGCCAACAGCCATGAGCCTTGTCCCTCGCTGTCCCCCAGCATCTCTGACCTTTCCTTGCCCTACCCCCTGCCTCACGCTGGAGCGAGAGCCCAGGGCGCAGAGGCCTGTCCCAGTGGGGAGCGTTACGTAAGGCCCTGATAGCATCAGATTTCGCCCAGCCCAGGCCTCCCAGAGGTGCCCACGCCAAACGCCACACAATGTTTCCTCATCACCCGGGAGGAAGGAGCAGTCCTGCTCCTCAACAACACCAGGGAGGTTCCCAGACAGGAGCAGTCCTGGGGAGAACAAGGTGCCCGCCTGGCCCCAGGAGGAGGCAGGTTCAGAGTGAGACGGAGGCTGGCGCCCTGGCCGGGCCTCCTGCCCATGGGGCAGCGGGGGTGACTCCRGCCTCGCTCCTGGGGACAGGGCCCTGCATCCTGGCTCTTGTCTCCTCCTCCCGACGGCGGGGCGAGGGCCAGCCAAGGGCAGCATCCTCACTCCAGCACGGGCCGGCCGGCGAGAAGAGGACTCCAGGAGACGCTGCCTCATCCCATCAGCTGAGCCGCGGCTTGGCCAGGAAAGGGACGAGGAGGAGGGGGCCGGCCCGGGAACAGGGGAGGACAGCGCGTGGCCTGTCTAGCAGGCTGCCTTCGGGGAGAAAGAAGCGGGCCCGGGACTGTTTGTCCTACTCGTTGCGAAAACATTGACTGTCTTCTCTCCTTTGTGTGCTCTGGAGACCGGGCCCCTGGCTGYGGGAGGTGCAGGCTTCCCACTGACAAGAACCTGGGTGAGGAAGAGCAGGTGGTCCAGAGGAACCCCAGCCCCTGACCCACGGGGTGGCTCCCACCCCTCCACACGCAGGTTCCATGCAGGGTTTTTCCCAGCTTCCCAGAATCCCTGCAGGGTTCCGGGCCTAGAGGAGGAAGGAGGCTGTGGAAGAGTTGGCAGGAAGCTGGCTGGAATAGCAAGTGTTTTCCCCTAAGAAACTGCCTTTCAGAGTCGGCTCTCGGAGTCCCCCGAGAGTGGCATCCAGCCCCACCACGCAAGTGCTGTGCCCCACTGATACCTTATCATGTCACAGGTCTGTGACAAAGCCTTGCCCAAAATACAGTGTGGCCAGGAGATGACTCAAGGAGCCAAGTTTCCCAAGACAGAGGGCCCAGAACATGGTCACTGTGTTATTTAAGCCGCCTGGTTCGTCCGCAGGAAAATCTTTCTCGGGGCATTTTCCGACCCCCCCTCAGCCCCTCTCTTGGTGGGGTACCGGTCCTTTCCGCTAGGAAGAAGCAGCCGTCTAACGGAGATTATCCGTGGAGGCCAAGCAGGAGAGTGGGTGGCCCAGGCAGTCCCCCAGATGAGTCTCCCCACACCGAACGGGGGTCCACGGGCCACAGGACAGAAGAGGAAACCAAGCTTCCGACGCTGACGAGKTAGCAGTGGGGACGCTGGCCCGTCTGGGCCTCCAAAGAGGTCAGCTCTCTCCATGTTTCCACTCTGCCTCCCACAGACCTAGGAAGGCTCCGCCCGTCACAGGGGCKAAAGGCTTGTTCCTTAACCACCGAGAGGTTCGGAGCAGCTGAGCACTTGCTGGGATGTAAAAAGGTCTGCGTAGGGGTGATTACGTGGGCTGAGGACGGGGCCAGCAGAGGCCAGGTAACACCGTCCCCTCGACTCCTGCCTTTCCTGGGGTCAGCCCTCCGTCCTCTTGGGCCTYGGTTTCCCCATCTGGCCCAGACGGTGAGTGCGATAAAGAGGTCTCTTCCCACCAAAGTGAGGCTGTTCCTGGAGAGTCTGTCTCTGGCTTCTCTGGTTGATAGTTTCTGGTTCAATGGAAATGAGTCCGGGGCCCCGCTCCCTATTCTCAGCCCCACTGAGGTTGACTGAATGGTGTCCTGGGGGCAGGGGGTGGAGCGGGGAGCAACAGTCTGAAGGGTACAGGCTTTTCTCAGGAGTAAGACCATGTCTTGGAACCTCACAGACGGGGTGGCAGCACGACACTGTGAATGTGGTCAATGCCACAGAACTGGACAATTCAACATGGTTCATTTAATGGGATATGGATTTCACCTCAATTTCTAAAGTTAAATCATGTCATTTTCACTCTTAAATTCCACAATTTCACATTTCTTTAAAAAATTAGGACCCAAATCATTCTGCCTTAAAGAAAAGGCCTTCAAATATTGACCCTGTCTCTCCTTCTTCTACCTGGATGCCACAGGCCCCAGATGYACAGACCCTGGGTGGCTCCAGAGAGTAGCTCCCGGCTGTGATGCTCCCTCCCTGCCCAGAACCTTCTCCCTACACATCCCTGTCTGTCTCCTACTCAGGCTTCAAAACTCCAACCACCAAGTGGAGGCCCATTTGCACTATTCAATATGGCAGCCCTGGCCACGTGTGGCTAACTGAGCCCTGGAAGTGTGGCTAGTGTAAGGAATTGAGTTTTCATTCATTTTAATTTAAACAGGCACATGGGGTTAGTGTCTCCTATACTGAGCAGTGTTACTCCAGACAGATGGCTCTCGAATTTTCACCCGTATCATCATCTGAAGGACATGTTAACCCTCGGGTTGCCGGGACCCATCCCCCGTGAAGAAGTTCTTGGTAGCACTAACGATGCTGGTCCAGGGACCACACTTTGACAACCACRGACCAGAGCTGGAAGTCCTAGACTTGGAGGACTCTAGACTCCTAGAGTGTAGACATGGATGTCCTAAATTGGTTTTCCAAAGTGTGATCTCTAGACCAGCTACAATGGCATCACCTAGGACAGAAATGTAAAGCCTCCACGGCCAGCCTGGTCCCCCTGGGTCAGCACGACATTATGGCAGGATCCCCCACAGCCTGCCATTGCTTSAGGTCAGGGGCTTTGTTGATCTTTGTATCCCCAGCACTGAGACCAGGAAAGAGTAGGTGCTCAACARATGCTTAGAAAAAGAAAGGAAGGGGAGATGGAGGTTACCCCGCTGGGAAATGAATTTCTTATTGGGTAAAATTTTCCAAAGAACAGGGCCCCAGTCTACATCCTGAATGCACAGTCACTGTCTCAAAACAGTGCATTATTAGCYGAGCATCGGGGCACACACCTGGAATCCTGGCTGAGGCAGGAGGATCACAAGTTTGTGGCTAGACTTAGGAACTTGGGAGGCCCTAAGCAACTTAGTGAGACCCTGTCTCCAAATAAGGAATAAATAAATAAAAAGGAGAGGGATATACCTCAGTGGCAGAGCACCCCTGGGTTTAATCCCCAATTAAAAAAAAAAAAACTGTGTTCTATGGGGGAAAGAGACAAATAAGGAGGCCCTCAGAGAGGAGATCAGCAGGTTGTCCCGGGCACTGAGAGTTTGCCACRGAGAAGCCACTTATTTACAGATCTTTATCCCCACATCCCTGGTCCTCACACCTTCTAGACCACTACCCTGGAGGGTTCTGACTGCTGGCTCCCCCCAGGSTTTCTAACTGAGGGCTGAAGATGGCAGCCTGGCTCATGGGTGTCCCAGGTATTGAGAGGAAGGGTTAGAATCAGGTCATGTAGCCAGAGACAGTGGCACAAGGTCATGATCCCAGCAACCTGGGAGGCTGAGGCAGGAGGATTGCAAATTCAAGGCCTGTCTCAGCAACTGACCGAGGCCCTAAACAATTTAGTGAGACTCTTTCTCCAAATAAAGAATTCAAAAGGGTTGGGGATGTGGCTTAGTGGTAAGGTGCCCCTGAGTTCAATGCCCAGTGCCCCCCAACCACCACAAATCAGCTSATGCAACAAACCACTCCCCGATATGCTGTATTCCTCTAGGCTATTTGTTTGCAGGAATTCAGTACATCCCCCCGACACACTTCTGTCCTCCCCAGTATCTCCTCAATTATCTCCAGGAATCAGAACTAAATCCCMGCCTTTTTGAACTGGAGGGAACCCCAAAGAGCCATAGAGACACCAAAGGCCCAAGAGATAAAGTGGTCCAATCACTGCAGGTGAGGGTGAGGTCTGGCTCTCCAGACCCCTGACTCAAATCTCTGGACCCACGATATGACCCCGGCCTGACAGTCCCTTGCTTGTGAAGTTCTCAAGGGACCCGATCCAAGGGTTGCCAGGTTGAAGCAGAAAAGTAAAAATGAATGACCAGCATCTCCTTCCCCCCACCAGACGCCGGGGACAAGGAAGCTCAGGAACTAGGAGCAGCCCGTGAACTAACAGGATGTGAGTCCCCCTGTCTGGGGACAGCTAGGGRCTCTTGCTCAGCAGGGAGTGGGAGCCCAGATTTAACACTCTGTCATGGACAGTCCTCGGTACGGGCAGTCTTGTCTCAGAAGCCCTTGGATATAAGCACCTTCTAAAATTTTAATTTTGTTTATTGTAGGGCTGGGGACCAGATCTAGCGCTTCACATATGCTAGGCAAGTGCTCTRCCACTGAGCCCCGGCCCCAGMCCTTTTCATATGWTTTTTTAATTTAGAGACAGCGTCTCGCTAAGGAGCCTTGCTAAGTTGCTGAGGCTGGCTTTGAACTTGTGATTCTGCTGTCCCAGCCTTCAGAGCTGCTAGGATCACAGGTGCGCACCACTGCACCTGGCCTTGAGTTTTCCTTTAAATGGGTGTATCACGATTTTTCTAGACACTCCTCTCTTGATGATGTGGGGATTATGTCCTGCTATTCTATATATATATATATATAAAATGCTGCAATGACCACTCATTTTACATACAGTGTCATGTACTTGGTTAATTATTTCCTTAGGTCGAATGCTCACAGGAGGAAGCAACGTATCAAAAGGCAACATATTTTTCCAGCCTTTGGTCCCTATGCCATATTGTATCCAGTATGGCCCTGCTCTCAAAGGCTGAGGTCCTGGTGGGGAACTTTCCCAGAGCAGATGGGAGCTGAGCTGGAGACTGGAAGATGTTTAAACAGAACCTGAGCTGGAGGCAGGCTGGTGTAGCAGGGAGAGCACCAACGTTAACTGTGTGGCAAGCCTGGCTCTGTCTCATAAACTGTGTGACCTTGGGCAAGTTACTTAACCTCTCTGAGCGTCTGTCTTCATCTAGAAATGGAGCTGTTATTACTTACCTTTCACTTGCATAAGGGTCCATTCAATGTTTCTTGAATGAATGAAATAAATTAATGGCTAGGAGGAGGATGAAAACAGAAGACCAGGAAAGGAGAGAAGAGGAGGAGGAGAGCATTGCATACTTTTTGCAAGCTTTGTGGACCGCCTCGTGAGGCCAAAGGCTGGTCCTCTTAGGGGCCTCCTGGGAGAGAAGGCTAGAAAGGCATGGTCCAGGCTGAACGGACCTTTGACCCCCATCCAGCTCGTTTCTTCCTCTCTGGGAGCCGGTGGCTGGTGAGTCCCTGTGTCCCTGTTTCACAGTGATGCCCCAAGGCAGAACCCCACCCCCAGGCAGAGCCCCTCGCCCAGCCGRGCCGGCTCCCACAGTGGGCTCCGCTGGCCCCAGCTGAGCCCTCTACCTTGATGGATCTGCCACCGTCCGGTGAAGGGACCCACGCTGCCTGCCAGTTCACACTTCTGAGCCCACGGGCCATTGTCTCCTAGAAACCAGAAAAGCCACACCCAATGGTCAGTGGTGGGGGGACACTTTCACCAACTCTCCCTCCTTGGCCCTACAGCCCCGTGCACTGCAGGAGGCTGGTCGGAGAAGGACTCGTAGAAATAACCCTGAGCCCCCCGCCTTGAAGAAGTGCCCTTGACGAGGGCTGTCTTACTAAGCTGCCGGGGAGGGGCTCCCTGCCTCGGCCAGGCCCCCCGAGCCTCTGGCCTTACACGGCTYGCCTGGCTTATGGGTTTAGCCATCCCAACAGCATGGGCATCAGCACCAGCCAGCAACGACTCACTGAGCATCTATGAGGCACCTACTGCTTCCTGTCCAGCCTCTCGTAAGCTCCCAACATGCCGGGGAGTAGGTTCTACTAGAAGYCCCAGTTTCTGAAGCTTAGAGTGTGACGATCACTCTCCCAACAGTAGATACGGATTCAAACCCCGGTCTGCACTCGACCCCAAAGCAGTGCTTCTACCACTGCCCTTGTTCCAGGAAGGGACCTGAGACACACAATCCATGGWTGGGCCCTTTAGAGGGGTCACTAGTTCAGCTCCATGAGGGTCACTCAGCCAAAAGATATGACCTGGCGACCAATAGCACCTGGAGTCTTTGGGACCAGGAGGCTGCTGAGGGGCATCAAGACTGCAGAAGTTCACAAGGTCAAAGTCATTCATTGGCAATTAAGAGCAAGACCTGGGAGGCCCTCCTCGACACACACGGGGCCAGCGAGAAGCATCGTTCAGACACCTTTGCAGGGCCCCAGCAGACCCATGCTCACACGGAAGCCAACCACCATCATCAGGGCCCAAGTTCAAAGCGAGCCTCGGCCCCATTCAAGGGGACCATTGACCAGGCTCTGCTCTTCGTGGGGYGGCTGCAGGGCTACCCAGGGCACGCAGCCAGGCTGGCTGGCTCTCACTACTTTACCTGTGAACCAGAGGAGCGTGTTTTCCTTCGCCGTGTGGTCGACTTTGTCCTTGAGCTGACCCACCAGAYTGTCCATCTCCCGGAGACCCGCCCGGTACGGGCTTTGGCCCCGTGGTCCAGCCACAGCTAGGGGCACATGCATGTGGGCCAGGCCCAYGTAGAGCAGGAAGGGTCTTCCGYTGGCACTGAAACAAAGGGGGACACRAGAGGTAACTGCGCCTCTGGGATCCCCCCTGACCTGGGGGACCCCCCAAAGGGTCCCGCCACGGGCTCAAGGACACATTCATCTATAACCTTCTAAGGAAATGTGGAGCTCACCTGGTCAGCAGGTTATAAACGTGGTAGTCACAGTCCTTCAGCGTTTACTTAGAACATACTACAGGGGACTCATGTTGTCCAAGCTCCTCCTCCTCTCCAGGCAAAGGCCCTGTGGCCTCTGGTATCGCTCAGAAATTATTTTTCCCTACCCCATCCCCAGGCAAGAGCAGCTGTAGAACCACTACCTGTCCCCTTCTGTGGAGGGCCCCTGGTGGAGGCCCTTCCCACAGGCCATGCCCACAGGAGGGCATCTGTTAAGCACACAGAGAAGCGGGGTGAGTAAGCTCAATCAAGTACACACACAGGGTGCGGACAGAAGCAGGGCCCCTTATTCACCAGTTCCCCCGGACACTCGGCTTTCAAATCATCCCCATGTTCTCCTGAGCTCACTCTGGTCCACATCACCCCCAGCCTCAGCCGTGCCCCGGGAGCCTCTTGCATGACTGCGCTTGTCCTTAGCTCTCTCTGACAGGCGTAAAACCCGGGACACCCGTCCCGAGACAGGGCCTCGGCCTTCCCCGTGCAGCCCACGGTTCCTCACCACGGGCCCACAGCTGGGCAGCCAACGGGGCAGCCACAGGTCTCGGGGGCTATTTGCATTGAGTTAATGAAAATCAAGTAAAATTTAAAATCCAATGCCTGGGATGCYACAACACAGATGACCCTTGAGGACATCCTGCTAATCCAGTCACCAAAGGACAAATACATATGGTTCCACTTGTCCCCAGCAAAGTTAAATTCAGAGACAGAAAGTAGAACAATGAGTGGCCCAGGAGGAAGGGGAAGGAGGAGGGGAAGGAGGAGGGGGAAGGAGGGAGACCCAGGCCCCCGGGGACCGTTGGTGTACACCCTGCAGGACATCATCTTTGATGGTGTCAGAGTTCCTGATTAACAGGTGCACAGTGTTGGTTAGGAGAGACAAAAGTGTTCTGGAGGGGGACAGGGATGACGGTCACACAGCAATGTCACTCTACTTAACGCCACAGAACTTTACACCGAGACAGTTAAGGCAGCGATTTTCATGTTCGTGTATGTGCCACATTCAGATCTGTGCCTCCCACGTAATGGCGTGCTGTGGCTCATTTTCACCCTCGGTGGTATCTCGTGGGTGGCTAGAAATCAACTACAGTGAGAGGATTTACCCCAAAGACACGGGCCTTCTCTCCAGGCCGGGGCCGTTTTCCGGGAGCTCACTACCACACGTGGTGCAATGCCACCCTGGGCCCCACCCCGCCATCCTCCTCCACACTCCCACCTTTATCAAAGTCACATTAGCACCAAAGGTCCCACCTCCTAGTCCCAKCCCTTTAGGAGTTAGGGCTTGCACATACGAACCTCGGGGGACACAGAAGTTCAAAGAGGCAGAGGAGAACGGGGAGGGGGCAGAGTGGAAAGATGAAGGACCCAGGCTTGGGAGGGCTGCGGCCACATCTCGGGTTTTTTAATTTCATGGCTACACAACTCTGATTATACGCAACTGACTCATTCTCCGTCACCTGTAAAATGGGGAAATCACATCCCCGACAAAGCTGCTCCGATTACTAACTGCCCCCAGCCACCACTGAACGAACAGCAGCTTGTCTATTAGTCGTCACGAAGGCAGGCCACAGCRGCGAGGGTACCTGGTACCCAGGGAGGGACCTCATTCCTGCATCCTGAGGACAGATGAGGATTCACAAAGGAGCTGTCATGCAGGGTGGACACAAACGGGTCCCYGGGGGCATCTGTCTCCCAAGCCACATCTTGAGTATGGGTCTGGGCTGAATGGAAAGCAGGGTGGGAGCGACCGGGTGCTCTCAGGGAGAAAAAAAGGCGGATTATTAGTGTGCTTCCACTTCTGCCTGAAGAATGTCCCCTTCGGTCGTCCTTAATGACGCTGCGGCAAAAGGTGTTTGCGCCCCAGCCGAGGGTGAGCGCTGCAAGAACACACGCAGCTCTGTGGAAAGGGTCATCTCTGGGGTGTGGGACTCAGGATGATGGGTTTTTTTTCTGTTGGCTTATCTCTGTTTTCAGGGATCTCTAAAGGGAACAGGCTATTTGTGTGGCCAAACAAGCAGAGTGGTGGGCAGAGAAAAATACCGAGGACAGTGTCCGGGGGGAGATTCCAGGACAGCAGGCCRGGCAGGGCCCGGAGATGTGCTGAAGATGAAGACCAGGGTCAGTCGAGCCCGAGAAAACATCTGCTGGGAAAAGCAGAACAACAGGCCAGGGGTGTCCCCTCGCTAGGAGGGTGGCCAGCTGGTGTCTGGCCAGAGACAGGCAGGCCTGGGTGAGCTGGGAGGGAGGGGCAGCTCCCCACCGCTGGCCTCGGGGGGACCCCTGGGATCTCTAGAAGGAAGGCAGCAGCCGTCACTTGCCCCTCTACTTCTCCTTCTCCCTCTGGACCCTGGCGTCATAGCCACCTTCACAAACCCGCGCTTGGTCCGACAGTTCTCCATGTAGAAACCTCCCGGGGTGCCCTGCAGCCTGCTGGTCAACCCCGACACTGCGGCCGGCATTTGCGGCCTTCAGCACCGGTCTCTTCCCTGCCTCCCGTCCCCCTCCAGGGCTCTGCCTGTCTGCCAGCCTCCCACCCCACCTCCTCCACCTTCCTGCACCTCACCGTGCCGTTCCTACCCCGGCAGCCCCCTGCCTCAGCTCCCTGAGTCGCTGGGACTACAGACTTGTACCACCGTGCCCAGCTCTTCCTTTTCTGATGGCACTAATCCCATCCCGAGGCTCCACCCCCATGACCTCATGTGAACCTAATTACCTTCCAAAGGTCCCACCTCCTAGTCCCATCCCCTTAGGGGTCAGGGCTTGCACGTACAAACCTAGGTGGGGACACAGACCTACACACTCGGACAYGCTGGGACGGTGACCACACTCTAGGTTTCCCAGAAGCCTCGGACTTCAGATATCCTAAGCCACCATTTGTGCCATCCCAATACACTCATTCCAATTCCACGCACAGTCCCAGACCCTCCCTGTAAAGGGCCCACCGGCTGCACAACCCAGGAGCCCATGACATGAACTCCCCGCCTACTTTCCCATCAGAGCCTTGTCTTCAAATATCCAGACCCAGGATCAGAGTTCAGCAATACTGAGACGAGGTGAAGACCCAGGGAAAACTCTCAAAGGCTGGGGRCATGCCTCGGTGGTAGGGTGTCTGTCTAGCATGTGGGAGGTCCTCGGTTCAGTCCCCAGTACCCCCCACACACACACACACCTTCAAAGGAGTCCTGGGGGGAGGTTTCTTCCCAAGAATAAGCAGGAAGACACACTCGAGGGACACCTGGTTGGTGGTTATGACAAACGGGGCCAAGTGGAAGGAAGGGCAGGTGGGGTGGGGTCCCGAAGGAGGAAGGAGCGAGGGTCTCGGGGCCTTTTCTGTGGAGGCTCAGAAACTCATGGGAGAATCAGCAGGTTAAATCCCAAAGAAACCTGCATGCCTGAGAATCACCTTCTACACAGTGAAAAGCCAACAGGGTCCACGACTTTCAGCTAATGAATAAATTAGCAACGTCTTCACTCTTTTTCMTTGGATAAGGAGAATGGAGTACATGTGTGTCTTAACTCATTCAGGCACCGTGCCCATGGTACAGCAGGCACTAAATAGTCCCTGGTCCCCAGCCACAGCTTCCCCTCAGAAACCTGCGCAGTTTGAGGCTTGATGTGGTGGTGCACGCCTGTAATCCCAGCAACCCAGGAAGCTGAGGCGGGAGGATCACAAGTTCAAGGCCAGCCTCAGTAACTTAGCAATAAATAAAATAAAAAAGACTAGGGTTGTAGCTCAGTGGTAGAGCATCCCGAGGTTCAATCCCCCAGCTTCAGTTGGGGGGTGAGGAGGAAAAAAAAAGATAGAGAGAAGAAAAAGAAAAAAATATATCCCTGTGTTGTTAGAGACATTGCAAAAGCAAGGTTGTCCCCACCTGACGGGAAGCATCCGCTGGCCATGGTACATGACAGCCTAAAACCATCTCAAAGTTCCAGGGACATTTGACTCTTCAGGGGGGAGAAGGGATTTTGCCCTTTTTATAGTAGCAATCTGAGAAAAATCAATAGTGTTTCTCAAAAAAGTCCAGCTGAACCCTTCACGTGTGATCCTGAAGGCCCTCGGAGGCTGCTCCTGCGAGTCAGGCCTTCGGCCGTGGATTGTTTCATCAACAGAACATGATAACTGGGTCTCCCTCGTTGCCCACTCTCTCCCCTGCTCACCTCTCCCAACATGGCTGAGCAAAGGGTGGAAGATTCTTGCACATCTGAGGAACAGAGCTGATCCCTACCCACAGGGGAGTCTCTTAATTCTGCACAAGCAGATGGTCATTCGGCACTTTTTTTTTTTTCTCCTTTAAGGGGAGGCTGTGGACCTAACGGAAATGACTCCATTGACCTTGAGGAGTTTACAATCTGGAAGGAAAAGTAAGATGAGCACATACTGGGTCACTCTTGGCTCTGATCAGGCAGAGGTTGCACACCAGYAGGCCTCGMAACCCGCAGGGTGTGCTAGAGAAACGCTGTGGCGCGGGTTTTRTTTTTTGCTTTTCGTTATTTTTAATTTGTAAGTTTATTTTTAATTTTAAGATCATGGGATTTCACATGAGAGCTAAATATCCTGTCTCTCTTGGAAATGGGAAAACCTGGCAATCCAGACTCACATTCCCATCCATCCCACTATGCAGCTGGAGCTAGGGGGCAGCTGTTCCCTTACATGGGGTGTATGCGTGCATGTTCACCGCAGGCCCTGCCATTCCTTAATGCCTCCCACTCAGCCTGCTTCTCTCTTTCAGGTTACCTTTTGGGCTCCATAGATGCAGAAATGTGTATCCCCGTTTGACAGGCTGAATGATGACCTCCAAAGATACCTGGGGTCTAATTCCTGGAATTTGGGAATGTTACCTGATACGGCAGGTGAGACTTAACAGGTGCAATTATGTTAAGGATCCTGAGATCAGGAGATTACCTTAGATTCTCCTGGTGGAGCCTAAATGCAATCACAAGTGTCTTTAAAAGAGGGAGCCAGGGAGATTTGACAACAGAAGTCAAGATCCGAATAACGCRGCCATTAGCTAAGGAATGCCAGCAGCCACTGGAAGCTAGAAGAGAGGAGGAAAAATTCTCCATTGGAAACTCCAGAAAGAAGCAGCCTCGCTGACATTTTGATGTTAGTCCTCTTTTAAAGACTCATTTCCAACATCTGTCCTCCAGATCTGCAGGAGAGGAAGTTACTGTTGCTTTAACCACTAAATTGGTGGTCATTTGTTACAGCAGCAAMAGGAAACTAATACACCTCACTAACTGACGAATTCAACCAATGTGCCCAGAATGGAGGAGGAGGCCCTACCCTCCTCTAGGAGTAGCCCTTGGGTCTGGTAAAGAAAGACAGAATAATCCTGACTGTGGAACATGAGCAAAGCCAGACATGAGACACTCCCAGAAACATGCTAGAAACATTAGTGAGGAACTTCTAACCAGGACCAGAGGTTCCAGGRGGATAATCTTCCCGTTTTACCTACAGGAGACATGCATGCATCCTTCTTTATTGGGCTACACCACAAAACTGCCGTGGCCTTGGTGAGGCTGAGGTCAGGGCACACAGTGCGMGGAGGGGTGGGCAGGGACGGGCCAGCACCGGGGCGGCGGGCTCCTCACCTTGCCTGCTGGATGAACTGGGTCGCCTTCTYGGCGTACTTCCGCGCAAGGCCGCTCAGGTTCACGGGCTGTTCCACGATGTGGAGGTTCTCGTAGAGAGGAAGGGCGAGGTCCGGGTAGCAGTCCCTTTCAAGGTTCCTGCGTGGAGGCCACAGACAGGGAAGTCTTCATTTCCCCGACTTCAGGAGCCACAGAGGAGCCYGAAAGGCTTTACTGCAACGATCGCACCCAGAACGCTGTACAGGCTGGCTGCAAGTGACATTGCCAGTCGCCATCTCCCCCAGGTGTAACACCAACAGAGAGCACTGTCCCCCATTCCCTTGGAAAGGCTGGCCAGACTCGGGGACGCCGACACGCTTATAGCAGGGAATGTTACTACTGCTCCCATTTTTCAGGGAGATCCACTGAGGTCTGACCAGGGCAGCTGATTTCAATCAGAGTCCCAGAGCCAATGGGTAGCCCCCTGTCTGGCTTTCTCCACTGACTCTGTGTGGCCGGGCGACATCTGGTACTCCCCCAAGTCCATGGTCAGGAATTCCCAGGACACCAGGTGTCAGGACAGGAGGGGATATAAGAAGGGCTGGGCAATTGTAATTCTGAACCCTGTCTGAAGAATCTGGAGAAAGTTTAACAAATGAGGGAAAAGCGGGCAGAGGAGCCCAATAGGTAACAACTCCCTGGAACAGCAAATTCTGCCCTGGGTCTTAGAGACGAAAATGCGCCCGCCATCGGGCTGCTCCGACCGCGAGCCTCATGGTCATGACCTGAGGTTGTCGGTGTCTCCTACTGAAGCGCCCCAGGAGCAGGAAAGGAGGTAACAGATGCTTTGCACAGGAATTTAGGAAATACTCCAACCCTCTGCCCCGATCCCCACAGAGAACGAGGGAGAAATGAGAACCGTGGAGAAGGAAGGGGCTGGGGGAATGCAGGGTGAGAGGCCTAGAAGTAGCCCAGACAGGAACCTGTGAAGAATGTGAAACTCCCTGTTCTGCCTATGTGCATGCAAACCCCGCTAGAGAGWGGCTCAGGAGGSGAGGCCARACCCAGCCCAGTTTTTTGTTTTTTTAAAGAAAGAGTTATTACTGCTGGGTGTTGTCATGCTGATTCCATTTGGGGGTTGAATTTTTCAGCTGTTTGTGATCTGTTACAACTCCACCATCATTTACATCTGGGGGGGCGTGGCGTGATGGAGATGGAACCCCAGGGTGCTCTACCACTGAGCGATGTCCCAGTCCTTTTTATTCTTTCACTTTGAGACAGGATCTCCCTAAGCGGCTGAGGCTGCGGTCCTCCTGCCTCAGCCTCCAGGGTAGCTAGGGTTCCTGAGGTGTGCCACCACACCTGGAAGGTTTCTCCATTTCYTCAAGAACCAAGCATGGAGGAGGCAGGCCCTGAACTCACAGAGAACCAGACTGGAATCTTGATTCCTCTCTCTCCCCAGCTCTGTGAGGGCAGGGTGGACACCCGCCTCACCCCGTGGTCCTGTGGATCAGAGCTAGGCGGAGGGAATGTCYAGAATGTCACAATTCTCCACAAACAGCCATTATTATATTAACTGTTGTTACTGATGAACCAGCTGAGACTCACATACCCCGGCCGCCCAGACACTTGTGACCTAAGAAATGACCACAGAGCGGCCCATGAACAAATGGAGCAAAGGGCACGTGCTGACGCCTTACCTGAGTACCGCTTAGGATCTGTTTTTCAGGGGGGTACTGGGGGTGAATCCAGGGGTGCCCCCCCAATGAGCTACATCCCCCAGCCCTTTCTATTTTTTGAGACTGGGTCTTGCTGGAGTTCTAAGTTGCTGAGGCTGGCCTCTAACTTGAGATCCTCTTGCCTCAGCCTCCCAAGGCATGAGATTCCAGGTGTGTGCCACCATGCCCAACTAATTACCTTTCCCTGACCATAACTGCATGGATGCTTATTGGAAAACCTTTTGGAAACAAAAGAAGAAAATGAGACCCTTTAACTGGACAACCAGAGTGAGCCCTTGTTAACGTGTTGGCACATCTCTTTGCAGTCGCTCTTGACGATATGGAGATAGAGGTGGTGAAGATCCTTCTGATAACTGTCTCTTCCTTTTTCACCTACAGTTATATCATGAGCACTTTTTTAAATTGAATATGTTTTTAAAACACCATGTAGGGTCTTCATGACATTCCSATGTCAGAATTCTGGCCAACTGCTCTGGGCGGGAAGAAGCTCAAAAGGATCTCTGTGTACTTTCTCTCCCTGCCACCCTCCCTCTCTCCTTATGTCCAATGTCTGGGCCAGGTGAGTGGCCCGGGAGCAAAGCCAGGAGGCCRAGGAGGAGGGAGGCCCCACCTGTGTGAGACCTTGGCAGCAGATGTCTCTCCCCATTGGAGCTAAACAATCCAARGAACCTGGAAAATTCCATCAGAAATACTCCGTGGCTCTCCTCTTTGCAATAGAGTGCAAACAAGGCATTTCCATCTGCCCTGGACACACACTCTGACTTATTCGCTGTCTTACAATCTCCTGTCTGCTTCTCCTGCTGACTCTGGATGGACCGCAGCCTTAGGCTTCCCTGTATTCTGAGGCCCACAGCCAGCGTGCTGGAGAGCATTACCTCGAGGAGCGGTTGCCCTGAGGACATGCTGGGCAAGGAGGGTGGTCGTAGCCCGGGGCATCAGTACAGCCCATATCRTGGCTGTATGGAATCCCAAAGTAGTAGTCAAAACCTGGAACAGAAGCAACCAACCCGTTAGCACCCCGGCTCCATGGCTCCTCTGAACGCCTGCCTTCTCACACCCAGGACAAGAATTTAATATCCCATGGTTTAATACTGCAGTGCTCTGGAGTATGTAATTAAAAGTGGATTTGATTAATATCCTTTTGAAGTATGCAAAGAAAAATCACTTTGCRAGGTTCAGCTATAAGACGACTTTTGCAAAACACCTTGTGATTCCAGCTAACCCAGGGAGGAACTGGAGAGAAATGAACTGTCTAACATTCTTTGAAAAGACGGACACCTTCAGGTTAAGTATCTGGTGAAAACCTACTAAGCACCTGACACRTAAAGGGGAAAAAAATAAAATAAATCCTACCCTCAAGAGACTTTCCATCTAAAGGGGAAATAAGATGTGTAGCTTCAGCCCTAAGAGAGGCAGGTGAGTCGGAAGAGGAAGTTACTCCCCGAGGCAGAGGTAGGGTTGGGCCGGGGCAGGAATCTCAAACGCTTCTTGAAGGATGGGCCTGGGAGGGCCAATGGGATGGGGGCTGGGGGCGGTGGTGTGCAGGGAGAGAAGGATGTGGGAGACGTGAATGGCTTGTGTGGACATTTTATTCTGACATCCTCCCTGAGAGAAGCTCAACCCTCTCTCCAAAGGATAAAACCAGTGGCCAACCAGAATGCAATCCCGGGAGTTCCTCGGCTCTCTTTCTTTCCTTAGAGGTGGACGGAACTCCAATCTCAGGGAGCATATCATTTACCCAGGGTCTCCAATGCCAGGCCTGGAGAACAGGGAGGGCTGGCTTCCTTTTCCTCTTCCGTCCCTCCATGGGCCTCCCACCTGCTCAGGGCACTTTTCCTACCCTCACCAAGTCACCTCCAGTTCCCACGTGCCTCACGCCTTGGTGGCTTTGCCTGGAATTCCCTGCTCTGCGTCTCTCACAGGTGAAGCTGAGTCAATCCTGCCCAGCCCAGTTCTGGGCAGTTTCCTAGGGAACCCCCAGTCCCCGGCAAGTCCCACTCGCCCCATCCTCCTTTCCTTCCCTAGTCCTGGAGCAGCAGCCTGCAAACTTCTCATCGGCGTGGGTGACAGGGGTCTTCCCCAGGGGCGCTACACTCCTTGAATTTGGACGGTAGATCTTTGTTGACCCAGTAGGTGGTGTACACTGAAGGACGAGTAAATGTTAGTTGTACCAGGGAAAAGAAAACGGGAAGTTCCGTGCTGACCTGGTTTGCGCAAATTTTTTGGATGCCTCACAGGTAAACAACACAACCCTGAGATGTCACTGCATTTAATGTCAGGCTGAGCCGAGACCAGGGTCAGACCGTAAATATTTTAGGTTTTATGGACCAGATGGTCTCTGTTGTGGCTTCTYGGTTCTACTGTTTGAGCACAAAAGCCCCCGGAAACAACCCGTGCACAGACAGTACCGCTGCTTTCGGTAAAAGTTTACTTGCAAAAACAGGGAGCTTCTTGGAGTCAGCCCCTAGGTCTACTGGGACCCCTGGTCTAGACCACGGTGTCCTCTGATTGGGGGAGAAGCCTGGCTGTGTACTGGAGCACTGACCCAAGAGACCACCAAGGACTTTGGGAAACCATTAATATCTTGGTGAGTTGGTCACTGAGAGGATCCATCATTCGGCCAAGGACTTTCACAGAATCGGCTCTGGCCACTTCATCTTGACCTTCCTCSCCAAGGTCACGGGGGAGAGGTCAGAAGCAAAGGGCAGCAGGAAGGAGCCAGGGGCCGTGTCCCCTACAGGGACCTGCAGCCCGTGCTTCAGCAAACCCAGGGGACAATTTTTACTTCTTTCCAGAGCAGCCATGTCGGGACCTCTCAGGTCTGATGTTCCCTGAGGTGCAAAGAGCTGGGAGACGACATGAAGATGGGTGGGTGGAAGGTAGGCACCAGGTAGCAATGAAGGGGGCCAGGAGGGCGCTGGCAAGAGAGCTGGGGGGCTACGGGGCAGCACTGGCACCCCAGATGCACCCCAGTGGCCTTGTGATCAAAGATGTCCTGACCTAGGCTGAATGACCCCAAGGACGGGAGGCAAGGAGCGAGCGGGCCTCTTCMCCCAGACAGCCTCGTTTTCTGTTTCCCAAGTAATGAATCCCCCCAGCAATTCTTACCGCGGAAGTTGGGGTGATAAGAGCCATGATGCCCAAGATGCCATTTGCCTGTGGATAAACAAGACAGAGATGTTCAGAGGGACCCCTGCAGACCCCGGGCCCTCAGAGRGGCTGACCACACACTCCGACCTCCATCGGCCCTGCCCTTCACTGAGGAGCAAAGACAGCCTGCCARCGTGCTCGAGAGCCAAGCTTGCTTTCTGGGACCAGACCCAGGGGAGCCTGCGGGGTCACAGCAAGCAACAGTGACCACAAGGCAGGAAAGCCTCAGGGAAAGCGGGAGACAGGCCACCCCCAGAGCCCAGGGCACAGCCATCTGAGCCGACGCCCTACAGACACAGCAGCTTCAGAGCTGCCCTCTGCTGCAGCCTCCCACGCTGGGGCCAGGCCAAGGCACAGGGTGGCCCAGGAAGCAGGTGCACTGTGCCACATGGTCTCAGAAATGTCCAGAGGAGCTGGACAACTTGCTCTCTCACCTCGTCAGCAGCCGGCAGCGGCTGGGAAGAGGCAGCCTCTGCAGCAGCTCAAGGCSGAGACACCTACCAGGCAGCAAATGAGAAATCTCGGCGGCCGCCCGCGGCTCCCGCTCTGTAAGTGTGTTTGTTCCCAGAGGATAATTGGGCAAAGGGCAGCGGATCCTGACAATGTCGGGGCCTCTGATCTGTTCCTTCCACTCTGGACTAGCCCCCTGGGAAATGTCCCCAAGGCCAGGGGGCAAAGAAACAGATGTGATACAAAGATCTAACAGTGGTGGCCATAAAGGACACAAAGGAGGGGAAGAGTCACAGCAGCCAAGGAGTATGGCTAAGAGATTTACCT